CTCACAGAGATCTGCCTGCCTCTGCCTCCCCAATGCTGGGATTAAAGGCATACACCACCATGCCCGGTGAAATTTTTTACTATATGCTAAATATGGATCCTTATATTTACAGACAAGCATACTGTACAGCACTCATCAAAGATGCTTCTTTCTGCAACACATGGAGGTTGCTGCAGAATTGCACATCTGGTCAGATACAGAGAACGTACGTCTGAGAGATGCCCAGGACTAGGTGACACATCTACAGTTGAACCTCTACAGCTAAGGTTCATGGAACACAGCAGAACAAGGGTAGAGAGAAAACTAATACGTCCCTCGACTCTCACCAGTGAAGCTTCCTTGTACAGCAGAGTGCAATGCACACAGAAGTGCACAACTGGCCAAGTTTTAAAGAGTGAGAGACTGTTGACTGTAGGATAGGACTCCTCACCCACCCACAGCTCAGGGACCATTGTGGAAGAGGGAGTGGAAAGATTGTAAGAGCCAGGACTGGTTCTTGAACAGAGGGAAGCAGAGGCTTTCAGGCCACTGGAAGCTTGCACAGGTGAACGGGTGGTAATGGTGGCATCGAGCACAGGACCCATGTTGACTCAATTAAACAAGGGCCCAAAGGGGAGGAGAGAAATGCGTGGCAGGCTGGCCCTAGACTGAAAACTACTAGAGACTGACTGCTGCTGGGTGAAGGAGAGTATGATTTATGTACAATCACTAGATGGGCTGACTAGACTCCAAAGAACAAATTTACACTGAAGGACATTTGGGTACAAATGCCTGAATGAATAGGACTTAACATGTATGGCGGGATACATGAGGTCTGGTGAGGGAACAGGGGAGGCATGGATGGGGGGGATGTCTAAATTTGATTAAAAACTGTTCTATGAAAATACGAAAGCTCAATAAAATAATAATAATAGCAATAAAACAGAATTTGCAAAAGAAAACAACACCATAAAAAAGAGCATTACCTGAAATGGGAAAATAGAGAAAGCCATATAAAACCCAAAACGGTGGTCATTGTTACCACATGCAGTATACAGTGTGTATTCTCATGTGAAAATGAAATAAAATGTAGAGTAATTTAAAGAGAAAAGATTATATCAGAAGTCTCATACATCAGTAAAATGCAACTAAGCTGGGTGTGGTGGCACACGCCTTTAATTCCAGCACTTGGGAGGCAGAGGCAGGCGGATCTCTGTGAGTTCAAGGCCAGCCTGGTCTACATAGTGAGTTCCAGGAAAGCTGGGGCTATAGGGAGACCCTGTCTGAAAAAGACAAAAAAAGTCATATTTTCGGAGATTTTTCTGAAGGAGGAAAAAAATGTGTTTTAGAAGACATCACTAAAACTGTTCTGTGATCACCTACAATACTTAAAACTATTCTTAGGTTTACTATGCAATTTTAAAACACAGGGTCTGCGGTGAGGTTAAAAAAAGAGGTCTGCAGAAGTGAAATGCTTAAGAAGCAGCATTTGGGGAGAGTTCGGTATTTGCTGATTGGAAAATTGTAGTCTATTTCCTTTTTAGCACAGATAATCTGCTGTCTGGGGTGGTCGTGGTGTGGGGAGGGCAGGAGACCAACCCTATCAAATACCAGAGTGCACTACAACCATTTGGTGTCAAAGGATGTGTGCCTGATCTTCTTGAACTTCTCTCTGACAACGATGGTGATGGAAGTGTCTGGGCTGTGCTGCTCCTCAAGCCTCTCCCTTCTCTTCTTTAGCCCCTTCCAGCTTTCTTTCTACCCAGGAACAGCGGGTGTCAGCTCTACTGCTTCTCTGATTGGTTAAGCCTGGCCGTGCTGATCCTCTTTATTCTCTGTTATAGTCAGACTATAGAAACCCAGTTTCACAGCTCTTGTCTTTCCCTGTCCTTCCCCAGCTCCTAATCACTGGTCTGTGCTCAGTCATCAAATGTAGCCGCCCAGCATGAGCTCTACTGAGAGAATGTTCCAGACCAAGGCTGTGGTCCTGAGGGCCCTCTTCTTGGCTCTTTTGTTGAGTCTCGCAGGAGCTGAGGCCATCAAGGGTGAGTGGTCAGGAGGATGTGGGAGGGTGGAGGACACAAGGTGGGACGGACAGCCAACTAAGTGTGTTAGAACGAGAGACTTTTCAGGACCCACAAAGCCACTTTCCGCTGTCTTTCCTCTCTTTATTCCTGTGTGACGTTCATCTTTGTCTCTAATGATCACAGTCACAGTAGCAGCCGTACTTCAAAGACTTAATTTCTTCCACCATTAGCATCTCACAGAAACTCCATGAAAATATTTTCACCCCCATCTTAGAGAGGAAAACACTGAAGCTCAAAAAGATGGAAACTTTCCAAAGTTATTTACCCAAACAGCCAAGGCTGATCAGATAGAGACTCTGCTCTCACCAGAGACTGTACACACAGACTGTGTCAACTTGACACAAACTAGAGTCATCTGGAAAGAGGAAACCTCAGTTGAGGAAATTCACCCATTGGATTGGCCTGTAGTCATATCTGTAAGGTATTTTATTAGCTGCTAATTGCTGTAGGAGGGCCCAGCCCACTGTGGGTGGCACCGTCCCTTGACAGGTGGGTTTGGGCTGAATAAGAAAGGTAACTGGGCTGGAGAGATGGCTCAGTGCTTAAGAGCACTGGCTGCTTTTGCAGAGGACCCAGTTTAGTTCCCAAAACCCACCTGGGGCAGCTCACAACTGCCTGTAACTCCAGTGCTAGGGGGTCTGACACCCTCTTCTGGCCTCTGTGGGCATTGCATGCACACAGTGCACTTACATATGTGCAAGCAAAGAAAAAAAGATTCAAATGACTGGACGATTTCAGTGGAAGCCAGCCAGTAAGCAGTGTTTCTATGGTCTCTGCTTCAGTTCCTGTGTCCAGAATCCTGCCCTGAGCTTCTGCCTGCCCATCCTTAAAGATAGCCTGAACTTGTAAGCTGAAATAAACCCTTTCCTCTCCAAGTTGGTTTTGCACAATGTTTTTACAGCAACAACACAAACCTCAGTGGAACAGAAATTGGTACCAGGAGTTGGGTTGTACTACAATGGACCTGACCATGTTTTTTGAGGATTGTCGAAGTGTTTGGAATTTACTCTGGAAAATTCACCAAGTATTCACAGTCTTATGGGCTGCATGCTGAGAGGAAGTTAGCAGTGCTGGAAGAAATGTAGGTGATGAGGCCTGGCTTGTGAAGTCTCAGAAGGGAGCTCGAGTCCCTCAAAGGGGGACTGTGTTGTGATATAGTTGAATTAAGAATCTGTAGAAGTGAAATCTTTGCTTTATTGGGACAATGGAAACTGATTAGCTAGAGCTGAAAATCAGCTGTGATTAGTAAGCAAACAGCATCACCGAGGCAGAGATCTTCTGGAAGGATTTCCTCAGGGTCAGCACACAGAAACTGCATCACCGGATGGAAGACTTCATCTCAAGCTGGAGTCCAAACCTGATGATGTCTCTCACCTGGTACTGGTTTTGAAGGCATGAAGGGGTCATGGAGAATAGCTGAGGCTTGGCGCCATGAGAGACTGGGTGAAGCCTCAGTTGCAGTACAGAACTCAGGATATTGGAGGTGGTAGGACTGTGGGATGCTCACAGGGACAGTGGAGGTGTGTAGTGGAGCCAACCTGAGCCTACAAGGCAAGCTGGGTGTGCTGTGGTCAGCAGAGTCAGAGAGCTGTGACTGACCAGATGATCATGAGTGAATCCTTGATGCTACAGCATTTACATGCTGCTGTTGGGTGTTGTTTTGATTTAACTGTGCTCTGGTGCTTCCTTTTTGAAATAAGAAAGTATGTAATCTATTTTTTGATTTTACAGGAACCCACAGTTAAGAGACTTTGGATTTTTAAAGAGACATTGGACTTTTTTTGAGACAGAGCATCACTATATGGCCCTGGTTGGCCTGTAACTTTTTTTTGTTTGTTTTTTTTGTTTTTGTTTTTTTGGTCTTTTTGAGACAGGGTCTCCCTGTAGCCCCAGCTGTCCTGGAACTCACTATGTAGACCAGGCTGGCCTTGAACTCAGAGATCCACCTGCGTCTGCCTCCCGAGTGTTGGGATTAAAGGCGTGTGCCACCACACCTGGTAAGGCCTGTAACTTTTCATGTAAACCAGGCTGGCCAAGAACTCATAGGGATTAACCTGCTTCTGCCTCCCAAGGATTGGGATCAAATGTGTGCACCCCCACACCTGGTACAGTAGAGACCCAGCCCACGAGGTTTCAGAGGAGAACAGAGACTCTATTAGGAACTGGGCTAGGGCCCATTTGTGTGATATTTTAGCTAAGAATCTGTGCTTTTGGGTCACCTGGGTCTGAAGAATCAACTGTGATTGATAATAGATCAGCACCATTAAGGTGAAACCATCTGTGTTTCATTGGGACAATAGTAAAGTATTTCCTCAGGGTCAGCACACAGAGGCTAAGGTCTAAGGAGGCCAGGTTACATCTCAAGCTTGCGCCAGAACTTGGCAATGTAAGAGTCATCACATAGTACTGGTTTAGAAGACATGACCGAAGGGGTCATGGAGAGAAGCTGAGGCTAGGCACTGTGTGGCAGGGTTGAAGTCTCTGTGGTGAGACCCTGAAAGGTCATTGGTGAAGACGAAAACTCAGTTGTAATGGATCCCAGGATGTTGGAAATGCAGACATTGTAGGACATCTGCCAAGGACAGCTGCAAATGTGGCATGGAGCCGGCTTAAGAGAGAAGCGCAGGGTGTGTGCTGTGGATGGTGGAGCTGGGGAGCTAGGACTGCCCAAGCCCTTAGGAACCCAGAAGATTACATTATGAATAAGTCCCAGATGTCAGACATTGAGCCACAGAGTTGGGATTTACACTGATAGATTTTGGTTTTACTTTAGTATGATTGGTTTTTATCTATGAATGAAAAGTATTTTTTAAAATGGAGAGTGTACTGAGAATTGAACGCCATGCATGGTAACCAAGCATTCTACCACGGAGCTATGTCTGAGCCCCTTTTCGCCTTGTTTTGGACTTTTTATTTTGAGACAGGGTCTCATGTAGTTGCCAAGGCTGGCCTTGAACTGAAATCCTCCTGCCTCAGCTTCCAGAGTAGTTGGGATTACAGGCTTGTGATTCCTGGCCCAGATGAATATGATTTTTGAAGAAAAATAATTTGTCTCGTACCTGACTGATCTTTAGAACTCAGGATCTGTGAAAATGTTAAAAAAAAAACACTTAAAAAGTATAAACTAGTTCTAAAAGACTCTCTGTGGGTTTTATTTCTCTTTATTTCATCTTTTCTGAAAGTGATTCTTTGGAGTTGAGGAGGAACTAGACTCCCATGAAATAACATTCTCTCTGTCACTGTGAGTGTCCCAGCATAGGTCCTGCGTGCCAGGGCTGTGAACTCACAGGGAAACCGAGTGCAGAGGTGGAGCTGGGCAGTCCTGACATTCTCTGCACTTTGGCTCATCTGTGTAAGCCAGGAGCTCTCACATGCTCATTATTTTATTAATATTTGTAGTTCCTTTTGCCTTTATTATTATAAGTGAATAAAGATTGAAAAAAAACCAAAATTGCACACACAGATATTTCAAACTCAGTAACATTTATACTTTCACTTAAAACAAAAATAACAGGTAAGGGTACTTGCTACCTGCCAAGTCTGAGGTCTTGAGTTTGATCCCCTGGACCCACAGAGTAGAAAGAGAGACTCAACTTCTGCAAGTTGTCCTCAGACCTCTACCTGTTCATTGGGGCATCTAAAACCCGTAAATAAAATAAATACAGTAAAAATATAAAATGAGGGCTGGAGAGATGGCTCAGCAGTTAAGAACACTGGCTGCTCTTGTAGAGGACCTGGGTTTGATTCCCAGCACCCACATGGTGGCTAACAACCTTCCAGGGATCCAAAGCCTTCTTCTGACCTCCACAGGCATTGCATGACACAGATGCACTTACGTACATGCATGCAATACACTCATACACATAAAATAAAGGTAATAAAATATTATATAAATATAAATATTATATAAATATATTAAATAAACATATAATAGCAATATTAATTATTAATATATTTAAAAATTTAAAGTGGAAATAAAAACAAAATTAAAAAAGTTTGAAACCAGTGCCATAGCTCCTGTACTATGCTGTTAGATTTAGTGTGGTGAGGCTGACGGAGACCGTCACAGCTGTTCTATTAATGTCTACTGCAGCGTGGGGCTCAAGAACTAAAACAAAAACATAAAGCCACAAAGAACACTACAAGTTGAAGAATGCTCTCGCCCCAAGTTTTTATTTTCTGCCTTTTCTATAATAAGGAAAATAATATTCCCGCTTCTCCACCTCCATGAGTCTAACCTCAATTTCACATCTGTAGTCCTAGACCCATGACCGTCTGGGAGAGGAACATTACCGTGACAATTAAGTGAGAAAAATATATAAACGACCACAGCAACGCCTGGCTCAGCGGGTGCTTCTCATCACTGTCACCCAAACCCCCGCTGAGCTAGTGAAAGGGCAAAACTAACCCCATCTTGCTCTCGCTGACTTTGGCTTTGCCCTGTGTTTTCGCCCAGCCATTTCCGCTGCAGCCAGCCAGGGGGACCGTCTCATGCAGGCAGTTTCAGGGAGCATATTGTTTCTACAGTACCGGGAAACTTGCAAGTACCAGGTAGCATGTCCAGACAGCACATCCTCCCTGCTACACCTGCGTCTCCATGGAGCCCATTGTTTCTGCAATTCTGAGAAACTTGCTTTTTCTTTATCGAAACTTTTTGTTAACTGAAAACGTCTTTGTTAACTGACCTGCCCCTGGTCTGATGTAACTATGGTGATCTGATGTAACTATGGTTACTGACTTTGCCCCTGGCATGATGTAATCGTGGTTTTAAGCATAAAGCTTAGGGTTTATAAAAACCTTACCCTGCTTCTCTTCAGGGTGGAGAGTTCTTTTGAGCATTAGCCCCCTCTCTGACCACTGGCTACTAATAAAGGACTTCAATTCGACCATCACTGTGTGGCATTCCTCTGGGCATCTTGCTCAGTATTACCCTAGGATGCTCGGACCCTGAGTGACAGGAGGCAGCGGGACTTCTTATGAATTCTCTTCTTTTTTTCCTCTCTCTCATCTTGTCAATCTCCTGCTTGTTGTTACCTTCATGCCCCATATACCCACCCTCTGACCTCATCTGACTTGCTCTGGGGCCTCCACTACTTACGCATTCATTCCTCCATTTGTGTCCTTTTCTCTGTTTTCTTTACACAGCGGACCATGTAGCAGTTTATGACATATTTGCACAGATGCAAACACCATCTGGTGACTGTGTGTATGAATTTGATGGGGATGAACAGTTCTATGTGGATTTTGACAAGGAAGAGACTGTCTGGGGGCTGCCGGAGTTTAGTGGAGTCTTCGCCTTTGATGCTCAGGGAGCACTGCCCTACATCGTCAGTTTGAAGAACAACCTGAAAGCTTTGATCCAGCGCCCCAACATCACCCAGGCCCCCAATGGTACTGCTACCGGGTGGGAAGAGATGGGAGGGTCCCTGCTCTGCACTCAGAATGGGAGATCCAGGTGCCCTCTGCTGAGTTATCCTCCTCCTGGTGGCAGCGGGCTCCTCTCCAGCACAGCTGAGGGCCCCTACCAGCTCAGGAAGAGAGGTGGAACTGGGGGAGTCTCATCAGTGAAGGAGGCTACTGGCTGTTATTCAGGACCCTAAAGGTGTCTTAAAGTCTGAGCCTGAGGTAGAGGATATCCCAGGGTGAGGTCTTCATGATTCACCAAGAACAGGGTCTCACCAGGTTCCGTCTCCTCCCAGAGCCTCCTGAAGTGACCGTGTTTCCCAAGAGCCCTGTGGAGCTGGGCCAGCCCAACGTCCTCATCTGTCACATTGACAAGTTCTTCCCCCCGGTGCTCAATGTCACGTGGCTGAGAAATGGACAGCCCGTCACTGAAGGAGCTTCTGAAACCACCTTTCTGCCCAGCACAGAATTCAGATTCCACAAGTTCCATTACCTGCCCTTCATTCCCACGGCCGAGGACTTCTATGACTGCCGGGTAGAGCACTGGGGCCTGGACCAGCCGAGCATCTGTCACTGGGGTACAGAACTGTTTTCTCTCCATGACCTCCACACCCTCTGCTCCCAGTACCTGGTACCCCAGAGCATCCCACTGCCCTTATCCTGCCTTAGTAGCCTGTCTGATGGCCTGTGACCTTCAGCCTCCTTCCTCATCAGGCCAACCCCACAACTCTGCACCTTCTGACTTCATCTCCTCACTTTTTTTCCAGAGGTGCAGGAGTCAGTCCAGGTGACCGAGATGACAGAGACTGTGGTCTGTGCCTTGGGCCTGGCTGTGGGCCTGGTGGGCATTATTGTGGGCACCATGCTCATCATAAGGGCTCTGTGCCCCAGCCATGACCCCCAGGCCCAGAGGGACCTGTGAGTATCTGTGGAGGTGAGACTATTAGGGTGCAGTTGGAAGAAAGAGGAAAGAATGGAGCTTAGCACCTGCTGTACATAAAGAGAGGAAACGTTCAGTTAGATGAAGTGTACACTGATCGCTCAGTGGTTAAATGCGCAGAGCTGCATTACTAACAACACTGATATTCATTGAGAACTTAATAAACTCAGGCACTATTCTGAGATTTATAATTATTAACTTATTTTATCCTCCATGACAGTCTGTTAGGTAGGTACTGTTATTGTGGTTTTATACTTGAGAAATACGTATGTCATCTTATGTACACAGGAGCATTAAACACCTTAATTATGGTCACACAGCTAGGCTGTAGGTGGATGGCTTTGTTGGTAGGTCATAGACTAAGTCATCTGGAAAATAAGATGTAAATGACACCAATGATTTCACTATGAAAGAAAGACACATGTGAGGCATCAGAGTGGACATCTATGAAGTTGTTCCCTGGCTTTACAATTTCCCATCATGAGATGCACTAAAGGAGGTGTGTTCATCGCTGGGACAGTAAATACAAGAGCAGAGGTGGATTTGGAAGAATAGCAAAGAATTCATTTTAAAATTATTCAGCCAGAGGTTTAGTGAGGCAGCTCACTGGGGAGTCCTTATGAAGTTGGAAATGGGGTGTGTGGAGCTTCATGGAGAGACTGAGGCTGAGATCGCTTCAGTGGTGACCCATGTATCTGTGGGCCGCTGTGGATGGTATAAGGGAGAAACAAGAGATCATTTAGAATCAGAACAAAATGGAGAGAACAGAAGATACCAGATGGCATGCCCTGTCTAGGGAATGGTGCTGCCCACAGTGGGTGGGTCTTCCCACATCAAGTAACAATCAAAACAATCCCTTAAATACATGTTCACGGGCTAAAGTCATCTAGACAATTCCTCAGTTAAGACTGTCTTCCCAGATGATTGTAAGTTGTGTTGCTGACAGTTAAGAACTAACAGTCACAATTAGATTTGCCTGATGTAAGCAAGGGTCCTTCATTCCCAGCCTTCCACAGTTGAGCCTCTTCGGGAGGCTGTGGTGTGTGGGATGCCCCTAGAGTCAAGTGGGGTTTGAGGTGGAATTTGCTCCCCTCAGGTACTCCTGGCTCCCTAGGGGCTGATGATGTGGAGGACCACGGTGTGTGCATGGGCGGCCCTCACCTCCCTGACACCGGACCAGGGCAGGGAAACTGGGGCAGGGCAACATGTACAGAGAGAACAGAGAAGGTATGTCTGAGCTCAGCAATCTGAACCCGAGGCTGACGGTAACTGTGCGTGTCTTGGTGCAGGTGACAGTATTTACGAGAAGAAGATGAACTTGCATCCCAGCTGCCCTTGAACTCCATCTCAGCTCCCTCCCCAGTCTGTCTCACTGACTGACTTGCTGATCCTTCAAGTCCTTATTTGGGGCCTAAAGCACTCAGTAAAGTTCTCAGTGAACAGAAGGCAACTTGAAGTGCTGCTGTTTTCAGCACCATGGAGACAGCCCGGCCCTGGGCTTCACGCCCCTGCTTTTCTTTGATGAGCCCTTTGCTGCCTCCTTCCTCAGAATACCCCGAGGCCAATAAATTCTTGTGTGTTTCCTCAGAATACCCGGAGGCCAATAAATTCTTGTGTGTTTCAGAGCTGGGGGACTCGAGTTCTTCTTACTGGGCACCTGGGAGCCAGTCACACATGACTGGTATTTGATGAAGGTGTGACTTCCAGCGGGGCTATGGATGTAGTTCCTGAAGGTTCTAATCTCACCTGAATGGAAGGATCTGAGAATGTTGATACAGCTCTGGGTTATTCCCTAACTGCAGGACAGGGTTGGGTGGAGGGAGGATGAAGATTTGGATGAACTAGTTTGAAGACTGGGGAAGGGATTCGGTTAGTCTGGATCAAGATTTCAGGCAGATCTAGATTTTACCCACAATTCCCAAGCGCCATTGTAACTATAGTGATTTACAGTGGAGCATATTTTTCATTTGATAAACTAACAGCCAAGAAAGAAAGTTTCTTCATTCATTTAGTAATTCTGCTGTGGTCCCTCCATGCAGCAGAGCTTTGAGGAGAATAGTGCCGATAAGCAATGACAGTGTTTGCAGGTGCGTTGTGTGACACAGTCACTGGGCGATATGAACAAGTACCTAGTCACCCCAGATAAGGAACTGACATCAGACCAAATGAAGGACACCACCAAAGTCCTACTTGGCGAACCACCAAGCTGTACTGGGGTATTTACAGGAGTGTGGCTGAAGGGTGAGTTATAGGAGCAGCGATGACGGAAAGTTGCAGCCCCAAGAGTGCACGCAGTATGGGCGACGGCTCACAGAAGCAAGAAATGCCAAGCTCACCACACAGCCCTGGTCTACGTTCCACACAGAACATCCTGTGTTGTGCCAGGCATGGTGGTGCACACCTTTAATCCCAGCACTTGGGAGGCAGAGGCAGGAGAATCTCTGTGAGTTCGAGGACAGCCTGGTTTACAAAGTGAGTTCCAGGCCAGCTGGGCTACAGGGAGACCCTGTCTCAAAAAGAAAGAAAGAAAGAAACAACCCCCTGTGCCTTAAAGAGCTCCCTTCCTAGATGTAGTGTCTTCTCTTGGAGGAAACTGCTAACCAACATTGTGCATGGCCTGGGTTTGAGCCCAGTACTGTACCCAGACCGAGAGACACACAGACATGGATACTCGGACACACAGAGAGACACACAAAAACACACATGTAGAAGGAGGTGGGTAAGAACAGGAAATACGCCAAGCATATTGCATGTCTTTAATCCCAGCACTCGAGTGGCAGAGGCAGGTGATCTCTGTGGGTTTGAGTCCAGCCTGGTTTACATAGTGACTTCCAGTCCAACCAGGGCTACAGGGAGACCCTGTCACAGGAAAAAAAAGAGGAAATGGAAGTAAATATATTGTATGCTCTTGTATTTGTAAAGTGACATATTTGGTTTATGTGTTTGTGGAGGGTGGGGTGTGTGGGTGCACATGTGTGTTCTTGTGGAAGTGAGGCTGACATTGTATTCCTCAGTTACTTCTCCAATTTATGTCTGTCTGTCTGTATAGATAGGGTCTCCATGTAGCACCAGCTGCTTTAGAATACATTATGTAGACCAGGCTGGCCTCGACCTCACAGAGATCCACCTGCCTCTCCGCTTTATTTTTTTGAGTCAGGGTATAGGTATATGTATTGCTTGCATGTATGTAAGTGCACCCATGTTGTATAATGCCTGCAGAGATCAAAGAGGGCATCAGATCTCCAGGAACTTGAGTTATGGACAGTCAGCTGTTAACTGCCTTGTGGTGCTGGGAACCGAACCCAGGTCCTCTCCAAGAGCAGCCCGTGCTCTTAATTATGGAGTCATCTCTCTAGCCCCAAAGATGAATATTTTAACTACCATAGCAACTAAATAAAAGTGTACTGCTAATGTTAAAGCACAGAAGACAAAATGAGCAGAATTAATCTAAAGGAGCGAGAGGAAAAACATGAGACAAAGGAAAAAGCAAATTCTAAGATGGTTAGACTGGACCGTAATACTAACTGAATAAAGTGTGTGTACTCTAAGCCTTCTAGCTAGGGCCCAGCGGAATGGCCCTGTGGGCAAAGGTGCTTGTCTCAAAGGCTGAGGACCTGAATTCTGGGACGGGACCTGTAGGGAGGAGGAGTGGTCGACGGAGGTGGAAGGGGATAAAAGAAGGTGGAGAAGTGCATTCAGAATGTATATGTATGTTTGAAATTGTCAGAGAATAAGTTTAATTAATAAAGAAAACACCGGGGGCTGGAGAGATGGCTCAGTGGTTAAGAGCACTGACTGCTCTTGCAGAGGACCTGGGTTTGATTCCCAGCACCCACATGGCGGCTATGAACCGTCCTTAATTCCAGTTCCAGGGGAATCCGAAGCCCTCTTCTGACCTCCGTGGCATTGCATGACACGGGTGCACTCACATACATGCAGGTGATACGCTCATACACATAAAATAAAAAAAATAAATAAAATATTTAAAAAACATTAAAAGAAGAAAACACTGGCAGAGCAACATGGTACATGTTTGTAAGAAATTTTTTTTTATTCCATGTAGATGAGTGTTTCACCTGCATGTGTGTAGGTGCACCCATGTCATGCAGTGCCCGTGAAGATCAGAAGAGGGCGTCAGGTCCCCTGGAACTGGAGTTACAGACGGTTGTTAGCCACCATGTGGGTGCTGGGAACTGAACCTGGATCCTCTGTAAGAGCAGCCAGTGCTCTTAACCACTGAGCCAGCTCTCCAGCCCCATGATACACATTCTTGAAAGAAACAGACAACAGCATTGATCTTGACTGTTGATGCAGCTGAGGAGGGAACCGGGTTGGAGGCCCCAGGAGAGCAGAACTGTAGGCACTGCCTTGAGAAGTACTCAGCAGCAGCATCCTCTTGGGAAGCTGGAGATCAGACCCAGAACCAGCTTCTGGGCCAGGCATAGAGACATCCTCGTTCTAAAGCACATATAGTCTTTTAGGTCAGACCAGGAGCCAGGTAGGGAAAAGAAGTCATTGCAGGTTGCTGACCCTTTTCCTGTAAGTCCAAGGACAGAAAAACTATGATATAAAAGTGAATGTCAACAATAAATACAAGCAAGTGTTCTGTCAGCTGAGCTCCACCCCTCACACAGGCTTGAAACTTTCTGACAAAAGAAACCCTCACTTCCTCCTGCAACCCACCCTGCTGCAGAATGCTGTCCTCCCGGCGCAACAGCCATTGCCATCTTCATCAGGTGCCACTAGAGAAGTTCAAGACTGGGACTGCTGATGCTCCCTCAGAAGGACGGGGTGGGGAGGTCGTCAGGCCCTCGTCTGAGCTGCTCCTTCTGTGCTTCTCAGCTGGCTCTGTGTGATTCTGTCTCCACTACATGTGCTCTGTAGTCTTGGGAGATGCTAGAGCGTAGACTATGGAAGGTTAACTGAGGGAGACTTCATCTACGAAGCCATAGGGATGCTGCTATCCATGGTAGGGTGAAACTTTTCAGTAGCATGGCTGTTTAGGGGTCACCTACAATCCTGTCAATAATTTCTCGCCTGTGTTCTGTAAGTAAGAACGTTATACTCATTGGTTCCCTAGTTGAACTTGGGTGGAATATACTTTTGTCTATTATAGGTGTTCTATCTGGACGTCTCCCCAGGGAACAACTCACTTGGCACATTTCCTCAAGAAAAACAGAGCAGGCATGTCAGCTGCTTATTGAGATCCTTCTTGAGCTGAAACTAAAAGAGGAAACACTTTCAACCATTAAAGACCTCCCTCCACAATGAGAGACACATTTCCATTCTCCACTGCTATCACAGCATGAACCCCACATGAACCTGGGCACTGAGGGAGCCTTGCCTGTCCAGTGGCTAAGACCCTAGCCTGGGTTCCCTCTGGCCCTGCAGGCCAACTTTGCTCTGATACTGGTTTCTGTGTCATCTAGAACCTTCGAGCATTGCTTTCCTGTCTCGGTCACTCATGGAGACGGGTGAGTACATCAGGGGAAGGCAAGGCTCTGCCTTGGTAGGACCTTATACATCTGGTGGCTGAGACCTTAGCCTGGGGCTCCCTTCTCCCCAATGGCCAACTTTGCTCTGACAATGATCTCTGTTCTAGATTCCTCCAGCATGACTTTTCTGTTTCCATCTATTGTGGATGAGTAAGTAGGTCAGGGAAAGTCAGGGTCCAGCCATCTGCCAGGTTTCCTTATCTTCTTCTTCTTTGGGTTAGGAGTTGAGACAGGGTCTCACTATGTAGCTCAGGCAGGTCTTGAACTTGTGACCCTCCTGCCTCAGTGTCCCATGTGCTGAGAATACAGACATGAACCATACCACACCCGGCCTCCTCACCTTTCTTGCCCCTCACGTGCATGACGAGGCCCACTGCCAGGAAGATGAACCCCAGCACCAGGCCCCCAACTCCAGTCAGTGTCTTGATCCGGGCAGAGTTGGACTGGGCCCCTGGAAGAGTAGAATCCAAGGTTAGAGTCACCTCCAGGAGGTGAGAGCTCAGGGCCTGTCTGGATGGATGTGGAACATCAGCATGAGGGACCTCATGCTGTAGAAGGTCTACAAGGTCCAGACCTGGTTTCAGTGGGGACAAGGCTGATTCTACCCGCTGCCTTAAGAGGCAGGACAGGTCAGGCTAAAGGCTGAGGAAGACACAGCTCCCCTGTGTGAGGACAGCATGGGAGAACGTCTGCCTCCCTAGACCTCCTGACAAGGGCAGATCCTGAATCTGTAGGATCCCAGGACAGTGATGGTCCATCACCTCCAGCTTAGAAGCAGCCTCGGGGGCCTGAAGGAGGCACAGGGGGAGATCTGGTCCCCGCGCATGGACACCCCGGGCAGGATAAGTGGACCTCACAGCCAGGGAGCTGCCTGCTGTACAGAACATGAGTCTAGAAGGGTCACTGGGAACTCACTCCACTCCACGGTGATGGGTCTGTCCAGGCTGGGGTGCTCCACGTGGCAGGTGTAGACGTCTCCCTGCTGAGGGGTCATTTCCAGTGTCACCAGGATCTGGAAGGTCCAGTCTTCATTGCAGGTCGGGTTGGTGGTCAAGATCCCAGCTGTTTCCTCCTGGTTGTTCTGGAAC